TGGAGGTCTTTTTTGAGTTGGTTATTTTCTTGCTTGGTGTGGACTTGGAGTTGGTAGTCTACATCGAGGAGTGTTTGTTCGTATTTAAACTTTAAAGCTTGTTTTTCTTGGGTTAAGGCTTGATGCTGTTTTAAAGGCACAAAAGCCTTTTTCATCATTTGCCGTAATTGTTGTCCTTGCCAGTTCATTCTCCATTTCTCCTCCTAATAAGTAGTCCCATCTACCATCACACTAGCATTCTTAAAAGGAATAACTCCTCCAATCACCGTGGGATGGAAATAAAACTTAGTAGCTCCGGAAGCAGCAATCAATTCACTATCAATACCCTCTTCGGCAATAATCGTGTAAGCAAAACTTTCTTTATCTCGCACCATAATCTTATAAGCTCCAGGCATTTTTAAAGATTTCACCTCAGCAAAATCATTTTTTAAGTCTACTCATTGATTATCGGATACATCAGACAAGAAGCGAACTCTTAAAGCATTATATCAGTCGGGGCTAATGTAAATTACTAAGTCTTTGTAGCTTTCACTATTCGTGATTACTTCGTTTCAATCAGTGCTGCCTAGTTTTTGATAACCTTTATTATAATCGCTACTTTCTTCTAAGAGATTGTCAGCTTGTTGGTAAATTCAATTGATTACCTCAATCGCTTTATCTAAGTCATCAATTTTGCCTTCATCTCATTTGGTAATAGCATTATCATGATAAACTTCCGTAGGGTCAGTCGGACAAAGCTTTTCTAAGACTTTCTTTTTAATGTCCCGAGTAGCTTGAGTTTTAATGTCATCAATTAGTCTTTCGGAAAGTTCAGCCATGAGAGCAGGACTTTGTAAAGCTCTTTTCATGACTTGCTTATTTTGAATAGAAGGATAGACATTATCAAGCATAATGGGCAAACGGCAAGAGAAAACTATCGGTAACTTCTTAAAATCTTCTCCGGTTAATTCTTTCTTCCACTTCACTCCTTCTAAGGGCTGAGTGCCAATATATTCTCCAAAAGCTCCGTTATATTCAATGTTAGTTTTAGCAAAGATTTGAAAGGGATTATTAGCATGAATAAGCTTTAAAACTCTTTCTTGAACTATTCTTTCTTGGAGGTTTTCGAGATAAGGGTTCATTAAGGCAGTCATTATTTAACTCCTCCTATTTTAGCATCTAACTTTTGGGTTAAAGTAGTTAAGAATTCATTGCCTTGCTTAGTTTCCTTTTGGTCGAGTTCAATTCTCCTTTGCCGATGATTTTCTCTTTTTAAAGATTCTTTTTCTTCTTCAGTTTGGCGAAGTTTCCTTTCCGTTTCCGCTAAGGTTTGCTCAACTTTAACGTAAGAACCTTTCCATTTATCGCGGTCAGTTAAAGCATTTTGAATATCTTGCTTTAAATCGAGTACTAATTTTTCGTGTTCTTCATTATTGTTTAAGGGGTTTTTGGTTTCGTTGGTGTTGTTCATATGGTTGTTTTTAGAAGGGTTTGATTTAAGCTGCTAAGTCTCGGATTTTGATATATCAAAGGCACACGAAAGCATATGAGCTTGACATATCATTGGTATATTAGTAAGTTGGTTTTTGCTGGTTTTTGGAGGAATTTAGGGAGAGAGATTTTTACTTGGCTTTTGGCTGGTTGGATTGGGCTTTGGTTTTGGCTCACTTTCTTATTATTATTTCTTATCAGGGTAAACCCTTCTAATAAATAACGCTATGGAAAAGATGCACTCTTAAAAAAGAAAATTAATAATAAAAGAAAAAGGGTAAAGGAGCAAGTAAGCCAAGGCTTATTTACAAAGTAAATAATTAGTTCAGTATACCAACATTTTAGCCAAAAAAACTATTCTCCTCCTGTCTCTGACCAGCAAAAATTAAGTATATTCTTTGCTTACACTTAATCTTGCCTAACTAATCCGAATGGGGTGAAGTATTTTTCGTTTTAACCAATTAGCTTACTCGCGTAAGGTTGCCTGGTAATCATCCCTTCTACTGCGCCTGCTTACTTTTAATTAGTCCTTTGGTCAGGTTGTCTGGTTAATTTCAGTCCACCAGCCCGAACCTTTTCTTGGAGCTAACGGCATTCAGCTAGTTAATTAAGGAATTCCCTGCGAGAAAAAAGACGGCTTGTTATTCTGAGAATAACGGGAATTGCTGATTTCTTTAAGGTCTAATCAATAAAAGACCGTTTATTTTGTCCTTGGTAAATGGTTCAATGATAAACATTACAAGCATAGATGTTGTGAAAAACATGAACTACTCTTTTTCATTCGTCGTAGATAGTAGTTGGCTTCTTTTCGGTAGAACAAAAAGCATACTCATTTTCTTTAATTCCCTTTTGTTGGCAAGTAAAGCAGTAAGGTTTTTTGCTAGCATAATAGTTAGCTCAGAGTTTAGATGTCTCAACCTGTTCAAGCGTCCTAACTTCCAAAAGTGTCTCAACCTGGGATACTGTCTCAACCTCCCCCTTTCTAATCTGTCCCAACCTGGCTAATTTCCTTCTTTCGCTTCTTTGTTGGTTGAGTTTGGCTTTATTGATTTGGTAGTAAGCTTTAAGTTGTTCTTTGGTATATGGCATTATTCTCCTCCCTTCTCCTTCCAAAGTCAATAAACCAAATAAGCATCTAATTGATGAACGCTAATCTTTTGCTTTTGATAAAATCAACCTTTTCCGAGCTTGAATTCTAAGTCTTCGATTTGGGTTTCATCTTTGAATAATTTAGCCTTTAAATCTTTAACTTGCTTAACGAGGATACTTTCAATTCTTAATGGCAAACTTTCAATTGCTCCCAGCAACTTCAATAAACTCACTGTCCCTTGGTGTTGCCTTGAATAAAGATAGTTAGTATTTTCGTAAAGAATAAGAGCAGGCTGATAATCCTTGACTATTTGGCTAATAAAAGCATAATGCTCTTTTCAATCTTGATGCTGAAATTCTTGAAAGATTATTTGGCTATTAATTAAGCATATTCCCGTCGTTCCTGTCCCTGAAGGGTCAATGCTTAGTATCTTAACCATAAACTCCTCCTGTTCTCCTTCCTATTTCAGCTAATAGTTCACTAGTGGAATAATTGCTTAAAGATTGATTTTGGTTTTGAAAGATTTTGCTATAATCAGCATATAAAGTAGCAAAATCATTGTGAATATAGCCCATGGTTGTTCCTACATTGCTATGTCCGAGTTGTTTTTGGATGGTTTCTAATTTCCCGCCTCGATTATAAAGATTAGTTGCCAAAGAACGACGAAAAGTGTGCGGAGTAATAGGCTTGATTATTTCTGCTTTGATTGCTTTTCTTTTAATGAGCATTCTAATTCAAGCTTCGGTAAATGGCTTTTGGTGGGAAGTTAGAAAGAGGTAATCAGAGGAGTGAGGTTGAAAATACTTAGTTAAAAAGCCAGGGAGGAAAATATAGCGAACTTTATTTCCCTTGCCATGAACTCGTAAAGAATTGCCTTGTCAATCGGAGTGTTTGGCATTGATTAATTCACCTACTCTTAGCCCTGAATAAAAGAGAAAGTCGAGAATTAAGTTGTTTCGTTCATGGAGAGCTTTATTTTGTCCAATTTTAACTTGCTTTAATAAAGCTAATTCACTTTCATTAATAGTGGTGTGAAACTTTTTTTGAATAGTCGGAATAATTCGGTTAATTTTCTTTCATTCGATATTGGCTGATTGGAATTTAGCATAAGAAGCCAAGGCATTTCTTTGGTTCCTTAAAGTGGAAGGTTGGTATTTAGTTTGATTAGCTTGAAGAAAGTGGCTGATTTGTTCGGTAGTGATTGACCGAGAGCCATATTGTTTAATCGTTCAAAGGTAGCTACGGATAGTTTTCGGGTGGAGATTTTGTTCTTGTAGTCAGGTTTGATAAAGGTTGTTCATGCTATTTGACTTGCTCCTTTTCAATAATTTGCTTACAATTGCCACAAACTCATTGCTGGGCTATTTTCACCGAGCCTAATTTGAGAATATGTTGATAAGTGGCTGTTTTTTGGCAATTAGGAGATTGATATTGGCAGGGTTTAGTTTTCATGGTTTAGTTCCTCTCAATTTACTAAATAATAATGCCCCGCATAATTCCGACAAAAGAAACGATATTTTTGCTTAAAACAATTGCCTTGGTCGATGATTTGCCAGATTGGGGAGGAGACTTTGTCTTTGAAAGCAAAAATTTTCTTGATGCTGGGTTGGTTTTCGCAAGTGATATTGAGTTGTCAGAAATATTGGGCGTATTTCGGATTTTGTCGTTGGTTTTTGTGGTGAATTTGTCCAATGAGATTATAAGTGAATTCAGCTCGTTTTTTATTCATTATTCTTTTCCTCCCTCTGTAAAGTGCCACCAAGGTTTTTGTTTATCACTGTTTTCACATTTTTCGCATTTATCTTTGAAGGCGAATACTCTCTTGAAAGACATTTCCTGTTGGCAAAGAGAACAGTTTTTGTTGAGAATTCAAAAGAGGATGCCGAGGGCGAGGAGAGTATTGAGAAAAGTGAGCAGGAGAATTAACATGCTGACCTCCTTTGCTTTCTAGCTCTTTGGATAGCAATGGCTTCTTTGGCAAGCTTGCCGATTAATTGGCGGTAATGTTGGTAGTTAATGGGTTGGTAAGTTGATTGGATTGGTTTTGCTTTGCTTGGCTTTTGGAATTTAAAGTAAGCTTTAAGTTTAGTTCAGAGGTTATTCATGTTTGACCTCCTTTTCGGTAAATCCGGCTTGGGGTTGGCAAGCTTTACATCATCAATAGTCTTCTTTTTCTTTTAGCTGGTTGGTTCGAAATTTCTCATAACAGCCTTGGCATCTTTCACTATCAGGACACTGGTTATGGTTCACAATTCTTAATCAAAAAGTTAGAGTGTAAGTTCCGTTTTCGGATTTGGTTATATCGTTAGCATAGTCAGATACTTCAAACTGATAATTACGCTCTTCAATATCCTTGTCATCGATAAATAAGCCACATCATTTTTGGCTACATTGAAAATCCTTTAAGTATTCCTTGCCTTTCTCGAAAGTAGTATATTCAGTTAGCTCTAATTCTTCAGTTCCCATTATTTAGGCTCCTCCTTTCGCTGGTTAACTCCGTAGTTTTCTTTTCATTGCTGGTATTCAGGAGTGGTTTGGTAACGAAGACCATGCTTTTTGATGATTAGGTCTAGGTCTCGGTCGCGATGACGGGTTTTGATTTGTTCGGGAGTTTCTTGTTTGCCATTTTTGAGACGGTTAGAGTGTTCAACAGTTTTGGTGATGTCGGGGTCTAATTCGTCGGTAGTGGGAATGAGGAAGAACTTAGTTAAGAAGTATTTGATGGCGTAAGTTTCCGCACAGCCTTTGGCTTTGGCGGGGTCGGAATTGCTGCCGATAGCTCAGAAATGGAAGGTGAGTTGTTCGGTAGGTTCTTCCGAGTTAGTGAGAATGGCTTGCTTTAAGTAGCTTATGGTTCACTCTTTTTCGATTTTTTGCTTATTTAATTCTCCTCGGTTATGATATTCACTAGTTGGCTCGCAGACATCACTAAAAGTTAGAGTGAGCTTCTGTTCGGCAATTAAGGGTTTGAGAATATTTAAAGCTTGCTGTTCGGTAAAATATTTGTAGTTTTGAAACTTATTAAGCTCGGTGCGGCTAATAGTTCCGGTTTGGCTTTGAATTTGTGCCAGTTTTTGGTAAATATTAACCACGGACTACCTCCCTAGCTTGATAAGTAGGCTTGATTTCATAACTAAGGCAAGTAAAAGAAGGTCGGGAATTATTGCTCTTGGCTCATTGACCAGTTAGTTGAACTTGACTACCTTTAATTAAGTTCGGTTTAGTTTTAAAGACTACCGGGATTTCTTGGTTTTGGGTTTCTAACTTAAAAAAGCCGTAATAATAGGATTTGCCTTCTTTATCCCTCGTTTCAATTCGAGAAGTTAAAATTCCCGTGATTATTTGTTGGTCTAATTGGGAGCTACCAACTGAACTCTTTTTTACATTTGGTTTTTGGGCAGGTCTTGCCATTTCTACGTTGTTCATAGCTTCTTGGGTTTATAGACAAAAAGCTAAAATGGTGATGAGAAGTTGTGTTTACATTAAAAAATATAATTATTATGAATGTAAAGGATATAAATGAAAATTGAGGAAGCCAAGCCCTTTTAAAAATAGCAAGAATAATTGGGTCTGGCGAACAAGATTGAAGAAACAATATTTACCGGGCATCTACTCTTGGTAATCGTAGAGACATAGACAGAATAGTAGAAGATTGGCTAGTTTTTGCTCTTGAGGGAGTTCCGAATGTTCCTGGCGGCACCAAAAATATCAATTGGCTTTATAATAACAGGAGCAACCGGAATGTAATCGGAAATGGAAGTGATGATCCAGACGAAGCAATGAGAGATGGTGAAAATTTATTTGTTGTTAATTTAATAAAAAAAGTGGGAAGAGAAAGCGGAACAGGAAATTTTGCGAGCCAAGATGATATACTAGATTCGTTAAACAAAGTATTTGGAGACATCCATTTAGTTAACCATGCTCGAAGAAATTACAAAAAAAGAATTCAAGATCGCATAAATGCAGCAAGTTCTAGGAGTAGAAATGAAGATCGAACTCTTTTACTAAACAAAGCAGAAATAGGCGATGAAGATGATCCAATTAATTTTAATGTGGCTGATATTTATTGTTTGGATAAATTTATTGACAAGTTTTTTGAAGATAGTCGTAATAAGGTTGAAATAGTAATTAACGGAAGTTTTAATGGATTTAATTTACTTAGCAAAAAGGTTGATAGCGATTTTTTTCCTTTTTCAGATGATCAAAGATGAATAAACTACTGACTCCTTTTTGCCCAAACAATCGCTAAAGAATTTGTTAAAGTTCGAAACGCTGATCAGGATAAAATAATTAGTAGCGATACAATAGTTGATCCAGCAACCGAAGAAAGAACTTTAAAGGGTCAACTCGTTTCTACTTGAGAAGAGATGGCTTTAGTAATTAACCTCATTGAGCAATTAGGGGAATGTATGGAAACCAAAGGAATGGAGCGGGAAAAAAACGATCCAGATCCTGAGGGTGATGATGGAGGTCCTGGAAGAGGAGACGAATTTGCCTACCAGTTTCGTGCTGATGTTATTTTTGATCCTGACGATTTCTGAACTAAATTAGATGAATTGGATGATGACGACGACAGAAAAAGAAAAGCAAGAGATAAAATAAGCCTTGCAACTAATTGAATTTTCCGGAAATTGAACTTTCCCCAGAATCGAATTTGACGAGAAATTACTGAAGTAGACCGATTAGCTGGCAACAATAATGCTGGAGATGAGATTATTGAAGATTATTGTGAAAAAAGTTTAACCGGAACTCAGGCTGCTTTGGCTTTTGCCTGCGGAATTGATCATGATGATATTCGGAGAGATGGAACTTTTACTACCGACGCGACAAGTTATGATTTAAAAACTCCTGTCGGGTTAAGAAATGCGGTTAGAAGCAAAAGTTTAGAAATTAATCCAACTATAGGGGAAGGTTGAAATGCTGGCACAGCAGAAAATGATTTATCAACAGAAGAGCAAGAAATTTTTGCAGAGGCTACAATTTTAGACACCGCTGCTGCTGAACACCATGCGGCTTTATTACTAGCTTATTTACGTGCGGCTAAAAATAACCAACCATTGAACTTGGATAGTAATGATTGAACTGATAATGATTATAATTTTGCCCAAGCTGACGGAATTCCAGATTTAACTGGATCCCACGACTCAGCTAATGCCGAAGCAATTAAATTTTATTTTGAAGTTCCAGAAGAACTAGACGGACTAGGAAGGACAAAAATTAACAATCCTGTCCATCTTGCTCGACAAGCACTTAATAATGCTTTTAATAATATTGTTGACCGAGTACATGCGAGGTATGAAGAATTGCGAAACGCTGAATTTGTCAACCAATTCAAAAGGCAACGAATATTCGCAAACAGAATTGACAACAACTGAGAAGAAACCATCGATGTTATTCCGACACCCGACATAATTACGGATTTTCAAAACAAAGGGATCGACGGAGTCCTCGCTGGTTTAGTTTATAACATAGGTTATGAAGGAAATATGCTTTCAGAAGATGATACCAAATTAACATATGGATTTGCTGATAATGGTATCGATAAAGAGCCTAATAGAAAATTTGATTTAAGGAATGATGGTGAACGCTTAAATTTATTCCGCATTACTTGCTTGCGAGAAGATCCTCTTGATACACCTGAAGAATGAGATGTTGGTTTATCAGAAAAAGAGAAAGCCATTATTAATAACCCGAATGTTAATACTGCTGAAGGCAAATACTACACAGCAATACTGTTAAGTTACTTACGATCAATAAAAGATGCGAACAATGATAGCGACATAGAGACGAATCCGAATGTTGAATTAACCCAAGACGGCAATGACTGAACCGACCAAGCGGTTAACGAGGATTTAATTAATACGCAAATCGAGTTGACAAACGATGATCTCTTAGAGGCTTTAAAAGACTTTGAAAGTGCAGCAGCTAGAAACATTGCGGCGGGAAATAACCGCCTTGTCGAAGACGTGGCTAAAGAATTAGCTTGAACCCAAATAAACGCCAACCAAGGTGGGGTAGCCCAAAAGGTCTTAAATAAAATGCTTGTTGGAGCGTTTGTCGAAAGTTTCCGCGCTACCCGGATTAAAGGCAACCGCTTAGACCGGAATTTTGCGGCCATGACCGACGCGGAGATTCAAAACTACAAAGACAAAGGGATTCACGGAACCACGGCTGGTCTGCTTTACAACTTAGGTATTGACCACACCGCCTTAGACGATGATCCAGCGGCGACTAACGGCCGAGGAGCCCGCCAATTTAGATGAAACAATAATGATTATGATTTAACCGATGCCACCGGTTTAGCGAGATTTGTTGAAGCGAAATCCTGTCGCGATAATCCGCTCTTGGCGGATGGCGACACGGCCTGAAGCGACGGTGGTAATGCACAAGTTTTAACCAACGACGAAAAAACTTTCATTACCGACCAAGCGGTCAATACCGCCCACGCTAAACACGAGGCTGCCGTGTTATTAGGACACTTACGAAACATTAAAGGTGCTAACGGCGGTAACTACGAACTGAACCAAGCCCCCGCTGGCGACGGAACAGTATTAAGTTGATTTGACAAAGGCCAGGACGCCATTAACGCAGCGATTGGTAATGGAACAACTACGGCTGAGCAATTGGCTATTTTAAAAGAATTTAGTAATGCTGAAAGCAAAAGTCCAAAAGGTCTTGCTTGGAATCGGGCAAATAGTGATGATTTTAATACTGGTCACGATAATGGGGAAGCAGGATTAGCAACAAAAATACTCAACCGTGTTGCGGAAATGCACACTAACACCGCTGCGGAGGACGCCGCCCTTAACGACGCTGACCCGACTGAATACCGTCGCCGCTTTAAAGCTGCGGCTCCGGGAGCTACCGCTGGCCGTCTGGACCCTAATAGTCTCCGCCGCGCAAGCAACGAAGGTGCTTTGAACGCCGAAATCGACGCTTGAAAGGGGGCCAATTTCCGTCCGACCGACGCCCGCAAAGCTTACGAAAATGATTGAACGAAACACGCTGACGCGGCGATTACGACCGGCGCTCACCAACGCGAAGCGCTTACAGCCGACGACATTAGCGACAAAGATTACACTAACAACACTACTATCGCCGCAAGCGGTCTCGCCGCCGATTACAACGACGCTAACGTAATTACTACCACGAAAGCCGCTGCGGAAAGAGCTCTTCGTGATTGATTACTTATTAACAATCCAAATACTAGTCTTGGCTGAAGCACTGCTTTAAACGCAGACGAGCAAAATATAATTAATGATGTTAATCTCAATACTGCCGAAGCTATTTGAGGAGCAGCAAGATTAATAGACCATTTAAGATTAATCAGAAGAAAAAGCGTTAACAACAATGGTGCCAATGGTCCAGGAGCTTTGACTAGTGGTTGAGATAATGCAGGTGTGGTAAATGGAGCAATTGGTAAGTTTAATTTAACTGATTACAATAAACTTTATCCTTTCAAAGAAGCTCATACTACTAGTGTTGACAGTGATGGAGGTAAATCTTGGATAAGTGTTAATAATCAACTAAATAATATTGCTACAAATGTTTTCAATAGATTTGAAGACTTATATGTAGACGAATTTCTTGCTGCCCCTAGCACTGTTCCGGGTGCTGACCATGACAAAATTGATAGTGACAACGAGGATGCTTTTGGTGCGGTAAATGTAGGCAATAGAAGAAATGAAATCATTGACTGACTACACGAAATGCGCTTTGAACCCGAAGATGCTCGGGATGCCTATAGTAACAGATGAATTAGAACTGATTTGGATGACGTAAATGGTGCTAATCCAAGAATGGTAAGTGCCCATAATAACTTTGACCCCCGAGTTATCCTCAAAGATTTCTATGTCAATTTTGCCCCAACGGTAGGATATGATGAAACTCGAACCCAAAATTATCAAGGCAAAGGATACGACGGAACTGAGTCGACAACCATTTGAAACAATAACTGGCAAAACCATACTGAAATCCATTTGACCGGCGGAGATACTGCTCACCCTGACAGAAAAGCCCAAATTCCCGGAAGAACTACTTGACATGACCCTTTGACTGTAAACCGAAATACTGCTCTTGCTCTTAATGACCAGGTAATAAACCCAGATAATGGAGGTGGAGGAAATTGACCAAACCGACAAAATGATATTAACCAAGCTGTTGCTCGAATCAAAGAGGAAATGAACAAACCAGAATTTGTCACTGATAGTGAATTAAATACTGCCTTAAATAAAACTAATTGGGAAACTTACATTCAAGGAGCAGGAACTGAAAATGCTTTAAAAACGCGAGAAACCGAAGCCATGAACGCTGTTAAGGAAATTCGCCAAGGAAAAACTCCTCCACCAAAACCCGAAACTGATTTAGAACGCTGACGCCGCGAAGCCATTGCCGCCGTAGAAAAACACTGAAAGGATAAAGCCAATTCTAGCGGCAAAATCAACAATAAAGACCGAGACAGTGTGCTCACTAGCAATTGAAAAGGTGGAATTAACGACAAAAACACGGAAACTGCCATCAATGCCGAACGTGACCGCTTAATCAAATCAATTGATGCAGAAAAGGCCAAAGAAGGCAGCGGACCAGGTCCGAGCGGACCTTATTATCCTCCTTCCGATAACGGAGACTCAGGAGGCGGAGGAAGTGATTCCGGAAAAAAACCTCCTGTTGGTGGACAAGATGAAAAAAAACCAGAAGGCAACGAACCAGGAAAAGATGGCGGAACAACCGAGGAATCCGAAGGAGACAAAATTGTTCAAGAGTTAAGTTTACAAAGCATTGATTCAGGCACAGTAGATACAATTATTAATCAACTTGCTACTGCTAATACTAACAATGGAAAAGAAGAAAAAGCTGACTTAGATAAAGTTAAAGACATATTGAAAATAGTGAACCAAGCCAAGGGCAAAAAAGAATACAATGAAACTGCTGAGAATTTACACAAAGAATTAAAGCAATTGCAAAATAATAGCCAGTTAGTTCACCAACTAGAAAGCCTTAAAAAGGAAGTCAATGGTGCCGTTCAGCATTTGGAAAAACTAGAAAAGGCAAAACTACAAACCCAACAGCCGTCAGGAAACTGGTGACAAAAGAAACCAACTTGAGCCAAAGTGACCATTATTGCTGGTGGTGTCCTAGGAATTATTTTAATTGGAGCAATTATTAGTCAACTAACCAAGAAAGGCAAGGAACCAAAAGAACCAGAAGAAGAATAAACAAAAAAACTCAAAAGTTAGCAAAAGAGAAAATAACTGAGTTAATAATTAACGATATTCTTTACAATGCTGGTCTTACTATTCCAAAAAGAATAACCCTAATTTCGGGAGTTCTAATTGCCAAAACTTTCGTTGAGAATGAAATGCCTATAATCAATGGCCTCTTTGTTTAAAACTATTAATATTATGCCAATAATTAAAAAAGTTAGCCCAAGCCCAAAGATGAAACATTTAAAATTAAATCCATTATCGGTTGCTAAGTTTTTTTGAGAAAAAGGTATTGAAGACATGGCAATTAGCCAGCATTTAACTTACTTCACTTACCTGGAAGCACTGAAACAAGGATGCTTGTTTTTTGAGGAAGAATGAAAAGCTTGACCGAATGGTCCAGTAGTCGAATCATCTGTTGATGAAATGTTTGACCATCGCCACAATCTCGCTAAGCTTTTCAAGTCATTAATTTCCTATCATATAATTTTGTAAAATCACTCTGATTTCTTGCCTTTATTATATTATGCTTAAAGGGATAGCT